AGCCTCAAACCCTTCAAAATCCCTTTTGTCTACACATTCTGGCCACAGTTTCTTCCAAGCAGAGTTCAAGGTCTTCTTAGTCACTCCCTCCCAAGCCTTACCTATAAGGTTTACACAATTGAGGATATTAAAGTGCTCTCTCCAAAACTCTCTTAGAGTCAATTAAGTTTCTGAGGTCACTACAAAGCACCTTTCAAACAGAGCTTTTGTGTACAGTTTCTTGAAGTTTGCAATAACCTGCTGGTCCATGGGCTGCAGGAGAGGAGTGGTATTAGGAGGCAAAAACTTCACCTTAATGAATTTCATGTCCCCATAAAGTCGCTCTGCCACGTCTGTAGGATGACCAGGGGCATTGTCTAACATCAGGAGGCACTTAAGTTCTAATTTCTTTTCAGTTAGGTAATCTTTCACATTGGGGGCAAATGCATGGTGTAACAAGTCATAGAAAAAGTCCCTAGTGACCCATGCCTTACTGTTTGCCCTCCACAGCACACACAAATTCTCCTTGAGGACATTCTTTTGCCTGAACGGTCTGGGAGTTTCAGAGTGATACACTAATAAAGGCTTAACTTTGCAATCACCAGTAGCATTGGAACACATCAACAAAGTAAGCCTGTCTTTCATAGGCTTATGTCCTGGGAGTGCCTTTTCCTCCTGAGTAATGTAGGTCCTGCTTGGCATTTTCTTCCAAAACAGGCCTGTTTCATCACAATTAAACACTTGTTCAGGTTTCAGTCCTTCAGTCTCTATGTACTTCTTGAATTCCTGCACATATTTTTCAGCCGCTTTGTGGTCCGAACTGGCAGCCTCACCATGCCTTATCACACTATGTATGCCACTACGCTTCTTAAATCTCTCAAACCAACCTTTGCTGGCCTTAAATTCACTCACATCAGCACTAGTTGCAGGCATTTTTTTAATTAAATCCTCATGCAACTTCCTAGCCTTTTTGCTTATGATCGCTTGAGAGACGCTATCTCCTGCTAGCTGTTTTTCATTTATCCACACCAATAAGAGTCTCTCAACATCTTCCATCACTTGCGATCTTTGTTTCGAAAACACAGTTAAACCTTTGGCAAGAACAGCTTCCTTGATTGCCTTTCTGGTGCCCACAATAGTAGCGATGGTTGATTGGGGTTTCTTGTACAACCTGACCAGGTTGGCAATACGCACTCCACTTTCATACTTATCAATGATCTCTTTCTTCATTTCTATTGGAATTCTCACCCTTATTGGTGTAGGGTTGGCACTAGAAGCTTTCTTGGAACCCATGGTCACTTATTTTCCAGAAACAGCACCGAAAACACTGTAATAATACGAAATATTCCGATTGTATGCTTGGATGTTACCGCGGAGGCTGGCTGGTAAACAATGGCACGGGCGGCACATGTGAGGCTGGCTGAGGGCGCACATTGGACGCGTCTCGGACGAAAATCGGTGAGCGGGTTTTTAAGCGGTATGCGAGGCAAAATTTTTGCGATTAAAGCAAGCGGTATGCGGATTAATCGTTATGTGGTGCCATCGGTATGCGGGGGTCCACTGTATATTTATTTATCCTCTTCTTCATAAAATATGTATTACTTATTACCAAACCTCTTTCTACACATAGCTCAATTAAAGGCTCCATTTTTATTTACCCCTGGCACCCCAAATTTACCTACTACTCCCTCCACAACATTTTTACGCACTTTAGTATTGAAATCCGCAACCACCATTACTCTCACACTTGGTTCAAAACTCCCCACGCATTCACTCAACATTTCCCAAAATCTCTCTCTCTCCTCTACACTTCTCTCTTCTCCAGGTGCATATACACTTACTATAACCCACTTTTCATATCCAACCTTTATTTTACTCCACATAATCCTTGAATAAATACATTTATAGTCCCTCTTTTCCTACCATAACTTATCCTTCAACATTATTGCTACTCCTTTAGCTCTATTTGAAACCCCTGACCTAATGCCGTTTATTCCTCTCCACTGAAACTCTCCCACCCCCTTCAGCTTTGTTTCACTTAAAACCAGGACATCCAGCTTCCTCTCATTCATAACATCCACAATCATCTCTTTCTTATCATTTGCACAACATCCATGCACATTCAGGCTTCCCACTTTGACAATTTTCTTATTCTTTTTAGTAATTATTACAGGAAAAGGGTTTACTAGCCCATTATTCCCGGCATTTTAGTTGACTTTTACAACACGCATGGCTTACGGAGGAAAGATTCTTATTCCACTTCCCCATGGATATAAAAGGAAAAGTAATAAGACCAAGAACTATTAAGATAAAATTAAAGAAAACTCAGATGAGTGTGTATAAATAAACGTGTACATGTAAGTGTAGTGTGACCTAAGTGTAAGTAGAAGTAGCAAGATGTACCTGTAATCTTGCATATTTATGAGACAAACGACACCAGCAATCCTACCATCATGTAAAACAATTACAGGCTTTCGTTTCACACTCGCCTGGCAGGACAGTAGTACCCCCCTGGGTGGTTGCTGTCTACCAAATTACTACCTACGAACATATGCACATATCATATTTCACTTATATGTATTGTTCAATAACACTAAATGAATGTTAATGGCTGTACAGTTGAACCTCAGTACTCAAACAGCTCCGTACTCGAACAATTCAGTATTCGAATGCTTTGTTCGGTTTGTTTGCTCGGCACTACCAAACAAACACGACCTGCCAGAACTTTGCTGTAAAGTATTTTGTGTTTCTACACATTATGGTGATGTTTTTTATATTATTTGTATAAATAAGTTACCATGGGGCCTAAGAGGGTTAGTGATAACAGCCAACCAAAAAGAAAATTGGTTGGGAAAAATTCATTCTGTACTTGAACAGATCATCACTCGAACAGCCTTCTGGAACCAATTAAAGGTCAAGTGCCAAGGTTCCACTGTACTGGCCAATACAATGCCTTGCATGCAACAAATTTTTTTTATACTGTGCACACTTATGGTGCGGACCTGCTTTTGTTATGGTCCAGTCCTAAACAGGCCAACTGGGACCATTTTGTAGGCTCTAGAATTTTTATATAAATTTACGTCAACAGCATTTTCCCAATTGGCATAAAGTTACGTAACTGGAAGTTTCAGAGTTAATGAGAAATACTAAACACCATCTTTTAATTGTAATGAAGAGTATATAGCTACAAGTATGTGAATGTTACTGCATATGGAAAAATGTCAGTAACAATGAAATGTACATAAAATTTTGCCTACAGCTTGTCCATAATATTAAGATGGTAATTAAAATGGCCATGAGAGATGGGTGCTCCAGTGCAGGAATATACACCACAGTGTTAAGGACCATGATGCTGTCAAAACATTCTACATAATCTGCACTACAGAAAGGCAGGAAACAAATTATGGTATTGCTGGTAAGCAATAATTTATAAGACTTCAAAATTTTTAAGTTACCAACACGTATATGGACTTCAGTAAGGCTTTTGACAGGGTCCCACATCAGAGACTATTGAGGAAAATTAAAGCACAAGGAATAGGAGGAGAAATTTTTTCCTGGATAGAGGCATGGTTGACAAATAGGCAGCAGAGAGTTTGCATAAATGGGGAGAAATCAGAGTGGGGAAGCGTCACGAGAGGTGTTCCACAGGGGTCAGTGTTGGGCCCCCTGCTGTTCACAATCTACATAAACGACATAGATGAGGGCATAAAGAGCGACATCGGCAAGTTTGCCGATGACACCAAAATAGGCCGTCGAATTCATTCTGACGAGGACATTCGAGCACTCCAGGAAGATTTGAATAGACTGATGCAGTGGTCGGAGAAGTGGCAGATGCAGTTTAATATAGACAAATGCAAAGTTCTAAATGTTGGACAGGACAATAACTATGCCACATATAAACTAAATAATGTAGATCTTAATATTACGGATTGCGAAAAAGATTTAGGAGTTCTGGTTAGCAGTAATCTGAAACCAAGACAACAGTGCATAAGTGTTCGCAATAAAGCTAATAGAATCCTTGGCTTCATATCAAGAAGCATAAATAATAGGAGTCCTCAGGTTGAACATCAAAATGGTATACAATACCGACAGGTTGTTAGGTAAGACACATATGCAACAGTTAGACAACTTTATTCCGAAACGTTTCGCCTACACAGTAGGCTTCTTCAGTCGAATACAGAAAGTAGGCAGGAACAGTAGAGATGTGAAGACGATGTAATCAGTCCATCACCCTTAAAGTCGTAGAATTTGAGGTTGTCAGTCCCTCGGCCTGGAGAAGTTCAGTTCCATAGTCAGGTTGTTCTTCAACTCTATACATCCTTGGTTAGGCCTCATTTAGATTATGCTGCACAGTTTTGGTCACCGTATTACAGAATGGATATAAATTCTCTGGAAAACATACAGAGGAGGATGACAAAGTTGATCCCATGTATCAGAAACCTTCCCTATGAGGATAGACTAAGGGCCCTGAATCTACACTCTCTGGTAAGACGTAGAATTAGGGGGGATATGATTGAGGTGTATAAATGGAAGATACGAATAAATAAAGGGGATGTAAATAGTGTGCTGAAAATATCTAGCCTAGACAGGACTCGCAGCAATGGTTTTAAGTTGGAAAAATTCAGATTCAGGAAGGATATAGGAAAGTACTGGTTTGGTAATAGAGTTGTGGATGAGTGGAACAAACTCCCGAGTACAGTTATAGAGGCCAGAATGTTGTGTAGCTTTAAAAATAGGTTGGATAAATACATGAGTGGATGTGGGTGGGTGTGAGTTGGACCTGATAGCTTGTGCTACCAGGTCGGTTGCCGTGTTCCTCCCTTAAGTCAATGTGACCTGACCTGACTAGGTTGGGTGCATTGGCTTAAGCCGGTAGGAGACTTGGACCTGCCTCGCATGGGCCAGTAGGCCTGCTGCAGTGTTCCTTCGTTCTTATGTTCTTATGTTCTTATGTACAGTACATAACAATACACTAAATAGACAAAGGACAAAAATAAGGCCAAGCAGCAGATTATACTAACCACAGCATTTCTAAATACTCTGTCGATGTGTTGGTCTACTCTCCGAGAAATTATGTATTTATCTTCATCAAATCTGGAGAGAGAAGTGAAGCGAGTGAATATTACAGGGCGTTCCTACTTACATAAAAAAAACCTGTATGTTATATTAATGCTTATGCATACTGTATTTGAAGATAATTTGAATCATGTACATTTATAATGCATATAATTAATGAATACAGTGGACCCCCACCTTACGATATTAATCCAATCCTGAGAGCTCATCATAAGCCGAAATTATCGTAAGCCAAATTAATTTTCCCCATAAGAAATAATGGAAATCAAATTAATCCGTTCCTGACACCCCAAAGTATGAAAAAAAAAAAAAATTTACCACATGAAATATTAATTTTAATATACACAAACTGAAGAAGACATGCACAATTACTACTCTACTAAGAATAGAATACATGAAACTTATCTTTATTGAAAATCTGGTGATGATTGATGGGATGGGAGGAGGGGAGTGTGTGGAAGTTATTGTCTAGAAGGGGGAAGCCCCTTGACTTGAGGTAGCAAGTCCTTTTCTGGGGTTACTTCCCTTCTTTTAATGCCACTAGGACCAGCTTGAGAGTCACTGGACCTCTGTCGCACAACAAATCTGTCCAAAGAGCTCTGTACCTCCCGTTCCTTTAAGACTTTCCTAAAATGGGCCATAACATTGTCACTGTACAGGTTGCCAACACAGCTTGCAGTAGCTGTGTCCGGGCGATTTTCATCCGTAAAGGTTTGCAGTTCAACCCACTTTGCACACACTTCCTTAATCTTTGAAGTAGGCAACTTCCTCAATTTCTCTCTCCCCTCCTCTGAAGCAGTTTCCTCAGGTCTGGCCTCTTGCTGTTGAAGATGATCTTGCAGCTCATCAGTGGTTAGTTCTTCATTGTCCTCTTCCACCAACTCTTCCACAGCCTCCCCACTAACCTCCAACCCCAAGGAATTCCCCAATGCCACAATGGATTCCACAACTGGCACACACTTCTCAGGGTTAGCCCCAAACCCTTAAAAATCCCTTTCTTCTACACATTGTGGTCAGAGTTTCTTCCAAGCAGAGTTAAAGGCCCTCTTAGTCACTCCCTCCCAAGCCTTACCTATAAGGTTTACACAACTGAGGATACTAAAGTGATCTTTCCAAAACTCTCTTAGAGTCAATCGAGTGTCTGAGGTCACTTCAAAACACTTTTGAAACAGCTTTTGTGTAGAGTTTTTTGAAGTTTGAAATGACCTGCTGGTCCATGGGCTGCAGGAGAGGAGTGGTATTAGGAGGCAAAAACTTGACCTTAATGAAGCTCATGTCCCCAGAAAGTCGCTCTGCCAAGTTTGAAGGATGACCAGGAGCACTGTCTAATACCAGGAGGCACTGAAGGTCTAATTTCTTTTCCATTAGGTAATTTTTCACAGTGGGGGCAAATGCATGGTGTAACCAGTCATAGAAAAAGTCACTAGTGACCCATGCTTTACTGTTTGCCCTCCACAGCACACACAAATTAGCCTTGAGGACATTGTTTTGCCTGAATGCTCTGGGAGTTTCAGAGTGATACACCAATAAAGGCTTCACTTTGCAATCACCACTAGCACACATCAAAAGAGTAAGCCTGTCTTTCATAGGCTTATGTCCTGGGAGTGCCTTTTCCTCCTGAGTACTGTAGGTCCTGCTTGGCATTTTCTTCCAAAACAGGACTGTTTTGTCGCAATTAAACACCTGTTCAGGTTTCAATTCTCCACTGTCTATGTACTCCTTGAATTCCTTCACATATTTTTCAGCCGCTTTTTGGTCCGAACTGGCAGCCTCACCATGCCTTATCACACTATGTATGCCACTATGATTCTTAAATCTCTCAAACCAACGTTGCTGGCCTTAAATTCACTCGTCACCACTAGTTGCAGGCATTTTTCTAATTAAATCATCTTGCAACTTCCTAGCCTTTTCACATATGATCGCTTGAGAGATGCTATCTCCTGCTATCTGTTTTTCATTTATCCATGCCAATAACAGTCTCTCAACATCTTCTATCACTTGCAATCTCTGTTTCGAAAACAAACTTGCACCTTTTGCAAGAGCAGCTTCCTTGATTGCCGTTTTGTTGGCCAAGATAGTAGCGATGGTTGACTGGGGTTTGGTATACAACCTGGCCAGCTACGAGACACGCACTCCACTTTCGTACTTGGCAATTATCTCTTTCGTCATTTCCATAGTAATTTTCACCCATTTTGCCACAGGATTGGCACTAGAAGCTTTCTTGGGGCCCACAGTGACTTATTTTGCAGCTCTTCTTTCTTTCAACACACCGGCCGTATCCCACCGAGGCGGGGCGGCCCAAAAGGAAAAATGAAAGTTTCTCCTTTTACATTTAGTAATATATACAGAAGAGGTTACTAGCCCCTTGCTCCCGGCATTTTAGTTGCCTCTTACAATGCGCATGGCTTACGAAGGAAGAATTCTGTTCCACTTCCCCATGGAGATAAGAGGAAATAAACAAGAATAAGAACTAGAAAGAAAATAGAAGAAAATCCAGAGGGGTGTGTATATATGTGCTTGTACATGTATGTGTAGTGTGACCTAAGTGTAAGTAGAAGTAGCAAGACATACCTGAAATCTTGCATGTTCATGAGACAGAAAAAAGGACACCAGCAATCCTACCATCATGTAAAACAATTACAGGCTTTCGTTTTACACTCACTTGGCAGGACGGTAGTACCTCCCTGGGCAGTTGCTGTCTACCAACCTACTACCTATGTTATTTTGCAGTTACAAGCACTAAATACACTGTAATATGAAATGTACCGAATGTATGCTTAGATGCGACCGCACTGGCTGGCTTGTAAACACTGGCACCCACGGGGCAGCTGAGGCCACCCGTGCGACACGTCCCAGACGAATCACGTAAGGCGAGTTTTTTATCGCGAGGCGAGGCAAAATTTTTGCGTTCAAATGCTTCATAAGGCGGATTTAACGTAACGCGATCCGTTCGTAAGGCGGGGGTCCACTGTACTTTTTTATTACTAGACTATTCTAACAAGCATTAAATATCAGGAAAAAACTGAGCTGCATTATTCAAACAGTGATGTAGTGTTAAATATCTTATGAGCTATATTTCAACAATCTATAAAACACATATCATGAATAAACTCACGTGCCAGTAGAAAGCCCCTGAATAATTGCAGACAAACGTGAAGGCGGAGGACCCAGCAGGTTGCCCACACCCCTGGTTTTCTTCAGCTCTTCTTGTGTGTCTGCTATCCACTTCCCAACAGTAGCTAATTCTTCCATGCTCATACCTGTGCTTTCATATTTATGCTGAGGTGTAGATGCTGTTGACTTCTGTGATACATCTGTATCCCTGCATCTCATTGTAACCTTGGATGCATCACCTTGTGTATTTCCAATAGGTAAATCAAACAGTGGGTAATGGTGATCCACAGGAGACAAGGAGGAAGGTGGGGAAATAGATATTGGTCTATGAAGATCTGAAGTAGCTGCACAGAGAGGAGCTCTGGGAGAAGAAGGCACAGAATGGTGTTGAGATGAATCACTTGAAGATGAAGACCATGGTGTTGGACTTGCTAGAGCTACCTTTTCAAGAGGGGTATGCCAAGAATGATCCATCATGAGCTTTAGCCAGGAGACACTCCAGTACTAATAATTCTGGCAACTGGAGCAACATTGGTAGAAAAGAGAAGTGCTTAACAGGCACCTCCTGTCCTCTAGCCACACTATGATCGGGATGCCAAGGGCGTCTGAAACTTGGGTACCAGAGCACTGACTGTTGCTACAGGAAAACAAATAATTGAAAACATTATGAAAAAATAAAACAAAATTGTTAAAGGAAAAATATTTGCAGTTACAAACTAAATAACACTTAATTAAAATACACTAAATTCTGTACTTTTAGATAATATGTAATGATAACAGAAAACTAGTACAGGTCTCCAACATTCTCGAGGGTTAGGGCATCAAGAGCCTCGCGAATGTTGAAAAATCGTGAATGTTTGGTGCCCCAAAATATTGTAGGGAAATATAATACAATACTGCTTCCTTAACTTGTTGAACCATGAACAATCATAAAATACATGAAAACATTGTAAATTGTACTAAATACATACATGTTATGGTTTAATAATATGTATGTTATTAACCTTTTGACTGTCGCGGCCGTATATATACGTCTTACGAGGTACAGTGTTCGACGTATATATACTCATAAATTCTAGAGGCTTCAAATCAAGCAGGAGAAAGCTGGTAGGCCCACATGTGAGAGAATGGGTCTGTGTGGTCAGTGTGCACCATATAAAAAAAATCCTGGAGCACGCAGTGCATAATGAGAAAAAAAAAACTCCGACCGTTTTTATTAATTAAAATGCCGACTTTGTGGTCTATTTTCGTATAGAATTTATGGTTGTATTCTCGTTTTCTTGGTCTCATGTGATAGAATGGAAAACATATTATAGAAATTGAGGTGATTTTGATTTTACTATAAAAAGAACCTGGAAATGGAGCTCAAAGTAGGGGAAATGTTTGATTTTTGCCAATGTTCAAAAGTAAACAAATGATGTCATTGTCTAATAAATGTCCAACTAGCCATTCTAATATGCAGTCATGAATGGGTTGATATTATTTATACAAATATTACAGTATTGCAGTAGTCTGCATAATAGTAAGTCTTCTATTTTTTGTTTTAATAAAAATTCAAAATAGAAAGCAAGAGTAATATCAGAGGGGCCTGGAGACATGACTGATGAACAAAGAAAATGTTATTTTAGAGCCAGGAATGTCTGCATTGCTCATTCTAGACCTTATTTTGAAATTGTCATATTTTTTAATTTTCGTGAAATTGGCCAAATTGCAAATTTCTGACCACATTATTGGGTAGTTGAAATCAGTAAATGGGGAGTTTCTTGTACTTAATCGATAGAAAAAATGGAGTTCTAAAGAAATAGCTATGAGTTTGGGCGACTGGAACAATGGAATTAGCCGAAAATAGGGCTCAAAGTGGGCGAAATCGCCGATTTGTAAACAGCGCCGAGGTCGCTAACTTCACGAGAGCATAATTCCGTCAGTTTTCCATCAAATTTCGTTTTTTTTTTATGTCATTACAATCGGGAAAAGATTCTCTATCATTTCATAAGAAAAATTTTTTTTTTTTTTTTAAATTTTGCGACAACAGGAGACACCTCAGGATTGGGGGCTGCGACAGTCAAAGGGTTAATATCGAAGGTCGGGGGACCACTGTACTCTATTAGCCTATTCTTAGTATGCAATTTGGCATTTTTCCATATCCAGCAGTCCTGCTATACAGCAGCCTATGTCTGCTTCATTGGGGACTTCAATAGGATGCTAAAAAATGTTTCTTTATACAGGTCTCCCTCCACATTCGCGAGTCCCTTCTACCCTCCCTCCGACCCCGCAACTGGCAGCCAGCCCTCCCACCACTCAGTGTGGCGAGTGTTTTGTTTGTTCATTATTTGCTATTAAACTACAGAATAAATAATGTAAACACATTCATGACTGCATATTGGAATGGCTATTTGGACAGGTATTGGACGGTGACATCATGCGTTTACTCTTGAACACAGCAAAGAATCAAACATTTCTGCTACTGCTAATAATAATAATAATAATAATAATAATAATAATAATAATAATAATAAATGCGATAGAATTAAAGAAGGAAATTGTACAAAAGTACGAGGGAGTGGTTGACACATCGTCAGTGTGGCTTTGTTTATGCTGGAGTGAGCATTAGTCTCCGTGCTCTTCCAAACATTTCACAATAATTCACTGTTTGGTGCTTGTAGATTGAGTGTGACTGGAGTGGTAAAGGCAGTGGTTGAGGCAGTGGGTGAGGCAGCGGTCGAGGCGCTGGAAGAGGCAGCGGTCGAGGCGCTGGTAGAGGCAGCGGTCGAGGCGCTGGTAGAGGCAGCGGTCGAGGCGCTGGTAGAGGCAGCGGTCGAGGCGCTGGTAGAGGCAGCGGTTGAGGCAATGGTATTTAATAACATGTTATAAATAATAATACATATTAACATTTATTATTATTATAATTATTATTAACATGTATGTTATTAAATACTACTGCCTCAACCACTGCCTCATCCGCTGTCTCACCTGCTGCCTCACCCACTGCCTCAACCGCTGTCTCACCCACTGCCTCAACTGCTGCCTCGCTCACTGCCTCACCCACTGCCTCGCCTGCTTCCTCAACCACTCCAGTCACACTCAATCTACAAGCACCAAACATAATGAATTATTGTGAAATGTTTGGAAGAGCACGGAGACTAATGCTCACTCCAGCATAAACAAAGCCACACTGACGATGTGTCAACCACTCCCTCGCATTTTTGTACAATTTCCTTCTTCAATTCTATCGCATTTATTATTATTATTATTATTACTATTGTTATTATTAGCAGTAGCAGAAATGTTTGATTCTTTGCTGTGTTCAAGAGTAAACACAATGTCACCATCCAATACCTGTCCAAATAGCCATTCCAATATGCAGTCATGAATGGGTTTACATTATTTATACTGGAGTTTAATAGCAAATAATGAACAAACAAAACACTCGCCACACTGGTGGGAGGGCTGGCTGCCAGTTGCAGGGGTCGGAGGGAGGGTAGTAGGGACTCGCAGGTGGCGGGAAACTTATATATGATTTGGCGGCTGGGAATTTGGCAGTTGGGAATTCGCGAATGTGTGAAGCCCGCGAAAGTTGAAAACGCGAATGTTGAGGGGGACCTGTAATCATTGCAAATTTAAGTAACAAAACATATTGTACTAAAGTACAGTCATCCGTACAAATTTTGACTTGTACATAATTAAACATTATTGACCAATTTTATTTACTTGTAAACTATGATCAGAATTTATTTGCAATCTAAATATTTTTTCCACCTTATCTGTCAATACTTTATAGTAAACTCATGAGCTAAGCAGCTGCACACCAATGTATTTTTAGTACAGATACCATCCGACTTACGACCGGGTTCGGTTCCGAGAAACCAGTCATAAGTTGAAATGGACGTAAGTCGAACTTTACTACTGAATATCAACATCACATTTTTGTAATGACTATTTTATTGTTTTATTTTGGTATTTCATGTTTTACTTTACTTTTTATGCTGTTAGTACTGTATTTTATACTGTAAGGTTTAGGATAAACACTGTACAACATAAACAGTTGTTTATTTCCCAGAAATTTGGCATAGAAAACAAGGTCATACGTCGAATGGTCATATGTCGAGCAGGTCGAAAGTCGGATGGTAGGTGTATTCAGTAATTTAGTTTTAGTTTAAATCTGCCAAAAATTCTATGCACACTATGGGCTCCTCAAATTATTATAATAAAAAAAGCGCTAAGCCACAAGCGCTATACAGCGGCTCCTCACAAAACTGTATCACTTGTACTGGTATCTTTTTTTTTTTTAATTAAAGTACTGTGTTATTACTGGTTATTATTACAGTGGTCCCTCAATCGTCCAGCCTGAAAGTCGTCCATTTCGGAAATAGTCCCATTATTTCGTCTAAACATTGGCTCGCAAATGGTCCATTAACTCGCTAATTATCCTTCGTCCGAGACGCATACTCATGCTCTGAGCCACCTGGGCCTGCCTTCCCAGCAAGTGTGCCATTGTTTACCAGTGAGCGACGGTCCCCTCACTTGCTCCTACGAAATATTTCATAATATTCCATTGATTTTAGTGCTTGCAGGTGCTAAATAAGCTACCATGGCTCCAAAGAAAGCTTCTAGTGCCAGCCCTTTGGTAAAGAATGTGAGAAACACATAATTTATGAAAAAGTTTGTAGAAAAATACAAAGGTGGTGGTGGTAGAGTGGAAGCAGTTGTGATAGTGGTTGATGGTGGTAGAGGGTGGTAGTGATGGTGGTAACAGTTGTAATAGTGGTAGAAGGTGGTAGTGATGGTGGTAGAGGGTGCCTTCTTTAGTGATTCAGCGATTCTACCAACTCCTCCAATGTTGCTGGAGTTATATAGGGCTACAGAAAACACCACCGCCTCAGCTGCTGCTCCACCATTATGGACGGCTTACTCTCAGTGGCCCTTATATACCTAACAACAACACAACACCTCTCGTGACATATGTAATGACTTATTTTATTCATTCAAGAGTATATTCCATGTTTCTATTTTATTAATATTGTTTATGTCATTAGTTGAATTGTGATAGATAAATAAGCCGTAGAGTTGATATTAGTGTCATATTCTCCACCAATAAACTTGCCATCCCTCCCTCACACAAACAAGTCTTCAATAAGAACATAAGAAAGGAGGAACACTGCAGTAGGCCTGCTGGCCCATACTAGGCTGGTCCTTCACAAATCCAACCCACTAACAGAACAAATGCTACCCAAGCAATAAGCTCAGGTGCAAGTCCGACTCAAATCCAACCCCTCTCACTCGTGTATTTATCCAACCTAAATTTGAAACTACCTAAGCCATAGCTTTTAGAACATAAGAAAGGAGGAACACTGCAATAAGCCTGTTGGCCCATACTAGGCCAGTCCTTCACAAATCCAACCCACTAACAGAACAAATGCTACCCAAGTAATAAGCTCAGGTGCAAGTCCGACTCAAATCCAACCCCTCTCACTCGTGTATTTATTCAACCTAAATTTGAAACTACCCAATGTTTTAGCTTTGATCACCCTACTAGGCAGACCGTTCCACTCATCAACTACCCCTATTACCAATGTTCATTTATACATTTTATTAGTGCTTTACATTTGGCATTTTCTGCATGTAAATCTATATTTATGCTAGGGAAGTGACCCCTGAAGTGACCTAGAGTCCTTATGGAGGGGGATTCCCCTTCCAAACAATAACCTCTCTTCCCTCTCTCCTCCTCCCTGTCTTCCATTCATCAACAACAGCCTTCAATAAAGGTAACTCATGTTGAATGTTCATTCTTTTGTGCATGTAAATCTATCTTTTAGGTAAAAAAAAAAAAAAAAAAAAAAAATTGTTGTTGATACTTCTGGGTGTCTGGAACGAACTAATTGGATTTACATTATTTCTTATGGGAAAAATTGATTCAAAAATTGTCTATTTCGATAATAGTCCCACTTCCAGGAATGGATTAAGGATGATAATTGAGGGACCACTGTATTATTATTATTATTATTATTATTATTATTATTATTATTATTATTATTATTATAAATACTTAAAGGAAAATTAAGCCCCAAGGATTAGGTAAAGTTCTGTCAACAATGACAAATAATTTTCTAAAAGTTCAAACTTTGGATACTGAACTAACTTACAGCGGCAGCAGTGACAACATCAATGGCTGCTCCCATATCTTTGCTGTCCCTTGGCCCAACCTAAGCTCCAATTATGGCTTAAATGCTTGTACTGCTGCACTAACCCATATGGAACCAATAATGACCCCAAAAAACTGTTAGTGATGTAGACAAGCTGACCATTTACGACTAAAAGAGGACTGTCCAGCATACCAAACACCAGCATGCTACCAAACGTAACACCAGCCAAGCAACGGTTACAACTACAGTAGCTCTATATCAACTGCGCTAGCATTCTCATGGGAAGGAAAAATAGAAGAAACACAAAGATGTACGTCAAAACTCCTAGAAAACTGTTACCCATAATGTCTATCCTGAAGGACGCCAGCGCATCATCCACCCCCCCTCACCCCCACCCGGACCAACAACAACAACAACAACAACAATGGTGGATGACTCCAAGCTTTCTCTGTATTCAGTCAACATTCATCCTCACCCACATCTCACACCCAAGCTGACTTCTCTTTCACAACTATGGTAAACACTCGACACCTCTTCACCCCAAATGACATCGACTACAACTCAACACCCAAAGGTATAGCCCAGGTATGCAGTCTTCAACAACGACTACACCACTGATCAAATTCTACAGGAAAATACAGTGGTACCCCGAATTTCGGTAGTAATTCATTCCAGAAAGATATTCTAGTGCTGTTACCGAAAGAATTTGTTCCCATAAGGAATAATGTAAATTAGATTAGTCTGTTTCAGACCCCCAAAATACACTTACAAAAATACACTTACATAATTGTTCGAGTTGGGAGCTGTTTGAAATTCGAGGTACCGCTGTGTAGTATGCTGATGCGGCAAAATGAAACCTACGAAAAACTGACTGCGGATCTAAAGTACTCGCTATTCACCCAAAACATGAGGATTAGCATCCCAGAGTGCCATCTAATGACAAAACTCAAGGATTAGTGAACTAGAAGACAAACTGACAATCTTAACAAATACCACTAAGCTACACACAAACCTGCAAACAACTGCAGCCACAGATCCCTTCAACATCAAGGAACCTTCCTTGAGGGGTGTGATTAACAGTAATTGATTCTCATTTACTTAGCCACATAAGGTGCTAAATCAGGTGTGAAAGTGTTATATTCTCTTTGTTTTATTTTTAATATTCAGTAGCTCCTTTATTTTCAGCTTTACAATAATTATCTTAGTCCATATATTCATATTTGTCAGTGGTTAACAGTAAATGTTTTTTATTTTTTTTGATAACTGCAACAGTTTATTTCACTATGTGCCTCTTATGAATGCAAATATCGATCCTGATACCAGCCTCTTATTGAACTGCACAAGTAATCTTAACAGTAATTGCCATTACTACACTGCTAGTCAGGCTAAAAGTCTACTCAGTGCCAGCAAGGACATTACAGTTTTCAACTATCATGTTAGATCATTGAGTAAACACTATGATGACCTCCTTGCATTACTGAAGTCTCTAAATGCTACTATAACTCATTATTCTTACTGAAACCTGACTCAAACAAGATTTGACAGACATATTTATCATACCTGATTACACAGTCATACAAATCTGCAGGCCAGGAAAGATTGGTCGTGGTTTACAGCGTCCTAATAATGTAACGAGACATTAAAAACCCATAAAACACACTCCCACCTAGTTTCTCATCCTCATATCTGACAGACAAGGATGTCAGCCACAGCACCGTGTCTTCCTTTGCAGATGACACCTGAATCTGCATGACAGTGTCTTCCATTGCAGACACAAGGCTCCAGGCGGACATCAACCAAATCTTTCAATGGGCTGCAGAAAACAATATGAAGTTCAACGATGAGAAATTTCAATTACTCCGATATGGTAAACACGAGGAAATTAAATCTTCATCAGAGTACAAAACAAATTCTGGCCACAAAATAGAGCGAAAAACTGTCAAAGACCTGGGAGTGATCATGTCAGAGGATCTCACCTTCAAGGACCATAACATTGTATCAATCGCAGCTGCTAGAAAAATGACAGGATGGATAATGAGAACCTTCAAAACTAGTGATGCCAAGCTCATGATGACACTCTTCAGGTCGCTTGTTCTATCTAGGCTGGAATATTGCTTCACACTAACAGCACCTTTCAAGGCAGGTGAAATTGCTGACCTAGAAAATGTACAGAGAACCTTCATGGCGCGCATAACGGAGATAAAATACCTCAATTACTGGGAGCGCTTGAAGTTCCTGAACCTGTACTCCCTGGAACACAGGCGGGAGAGATACATGATTATATACACTTGGAAAATCCTAGAGGGACTAGTACTGAACTTGCACACAAAAATCACTCACAACGAAAGCAAAAGACTCAGAAGAGGAAGCAACATTCCCCCCAATGAAAAGCTGAGGTGTCACTAGCACGTTAAGAGATAACACAATAAGTGTCAGGGGCCCAAGACTGTTCAACTGCCTCCCAGCATACATAAAGAGGATTACCAATAGACCCCTGGCTGTCTTCAAGCAGGCACTGGACAAGCACCTAAAGTCGGTACCTGACCAGCCGGGCTGTGGCTTGTACATTGGATTGCATGCAGTCAGCAGTAACAGCCTAGTCGATCAGGCTCTTATCCACCATGAGGCCTGGTCACAGACTGGGCAGCGGGGGCATTGACCCCCAGAGCTCTCTCCAGGTAAACTGGGGACTGTAATAAGCCCTTACCTGTCCTCTGGAATATTGGCAAAAATCAAATATATTCGCTAATTTGAGCACAATTTCAACCTACTTCCAGTCTGGAAACTAACCAGAATCATCTCTATTTCAGTAGTATGTCTTCCATTCTATCAAATGATACCAAGTAACAACCAATAAAACCATAAAAACATTCGAGAAAAGCTGCAATTTTAAACCAAACACGGTCACAGTTTTGTTTATCCCTCCATGCACTATGTCAGCAGGATTTTTTTTTAAAAACTGTGCCACTCACCCCAAAACCCCGTCTCTTATATAAAGTCAAAATTTTACCTTTCACATCTATCTGATGGCCGGCTCTTGACGTAGAACTATCCCGGGGAAACACTGGGCATGTTTCCTTAAAACCTGCTGCCCCTGTTCCCTAGAAATAAGTGGGCCCTGGGTGTTAGTTCTAGTGGGGGTGGCATCCTGGAGGAAAAAAAGAAGGACCAAAAGGGAATAAGCAGACGCCCTCGATGAGCACTGACTTTCGGGGTTTATCCGGGGGTTAACTAACCTCCCCGGGTTGAAAACCCAAAAAATCTTCCGCGGAAAAGTGCCCTCTGAATGGCACCCATTAAGTGCTCGTTAGCAAAACAGTTGATAAACACTTGTTTTTGATATTAAAGAAAAAATACCCCAAAGATAAAGGTTACAAGGACCCCTTTGGAAATAAGTCACTTCGTTATTTTCTTTTGGGTTACCTGGGAAATTTACAAACAGTTAATAGGTATGATAATTGTACTTAATGACCTGTATGTAATTAAACTTACAGTTGTTGTGGACCTTTTCCTAGGGCCACAGATTTGATGTGTATTGTGTTAATTATTGGGGTTCGAGTTGTAGAAGGCCACCAAAGGAAAACCCTATTGAGCCCGCCTCCAGGAGCCCCATGAAAAAAAAATATTGCCCAATTTTCGGGGGGAAATAAAAATAAACAAAGTTTCCCCGGAAGGAAAAAAGAAAACCAAAAAATTTTCCAAAATTAGATCGGGCAGCCTTAGGTCTGAACACGGAAGACCCGGTCTCACCCCCTGAGTAAGAATAAAAGGCACGATCCCTGACTGAACAATACACAAATTTTCGCCATAAGAAAATTTAAAACTAATAACGATTTTTTCGATCGAATTTGGACCATCAACTAGTGTGTTTTGTTAAAGTCTAGCGGAACGAACGTCATCGTAATTTTCGGGCTCCCATAGTAAACATCTATCTCAGCCAAGCCGAAAAGAGGTCCCACCTCAGGCCTTTAAAACCGTATATACTACTACTATACTCTTACTAATAATAATAAAAATTTAAAAATAAAAAAATAATAATAATAATAATAATAAATAATATTAAATAATAATATCTTTATTTCTACAAAATACTGTACAAGGTATCTGACTCTGACTCAATGACATATAGAAGCCACTTGTTAGGGGGGCATTTCGAGCAAATTGCAGGGGGGTGGTAAGGGGAAAAGCCGCCCCGGGGGCACCCTAGAGCCCCAAAAAAAGGTGACACAAAAAGACCAAACCATTCTGCAGCAACCCAAAAAGAAAAATCCTTTGTTTTTTAAAAAGCCATTATGGATTACAGAGTACAAAAAAGGCCATAAGGGAAATCATTGATTTTTTAAGATGTGATAGATGATTTTGCAGGACTGAAAGGAAGGAAAAGTAAGATGTTTATTGAGATGTTTCCTTATCAAGGTTAATCGGAAATGTTTTCTTGGGGTTTTTTAATTTTTTTTTTTTTTATTTTTGAAGATGAATAAATGTAGGATCTGTTGCCTTTTCTCAAAGTGGTATTTGGTTTGTTTCCCAAATATTTGATTATTTATTTTTTCATTAAAAAAGTTTGGTTTTTGGGCCTTTAAAAAATTTCTGCTAAAAATTAGCCCCTGGGCAGCAGCGTATGTAAATGGGTTTACTACCCCTATCCCCGCCCTTGGATTTCATGGGGGTGGCACCAAAAATGCCCCCCTGGGTGACACCAAAGTTCCGCCCCTGGGGAACCCCAAACCCCAGGAGCCTCTGAAATTAGGTCATTTTGTCCCCCGGATGCGACCCCCTCAGTCAAACCCCCCGGGGCAATTTCATTATGGGTGAACAGGGACACAGGGTTTTGGGGAATCGCATCCTAATGTTTTTTCCCCCCATACCGGGAATTGATCCCCCTCCCCTAGTTACAACTGAGTTTGCACGATGACTAGTAACTGCGGGAAGAGTCGGTACACTGATTCTTCCTGAAGAACTGCAACAGAACATCTAGACACAATACGGCAATTAAGTATCTCTGATATACGTGTTCGACTCAACCTATCTAGAAATTCCATGCAAATTAAGGGCCCTAAAGTTTAGTGTGTTCTAGAATATGATCAAAATTCCCTTTCTGCTGTTTGCATAACAAATACACAATAATTAAAATACACTTCCTAAATCTGACATAAACAATGCTTAGATTGTGTTAAAACTCATTTTATCCAAAGCAACCCTGTTGATCCAAATTGTGGAAATTATTTAATTTCCGAAGCTATAATGTCTAATAAGTGTTTAATGTGCTGATTTGGGTCAAAATGTATTTGAAAATGGAATAGAACCAACAGGGTTCCTCAGCGCCTACGCGGATGCGCACGGGGGGAGGTCGACACAGGGCATGGAGAGGCGGCAGTGTTTTGAATGGGTTTAAGAGGCTGTGAAAACATGGGACCAGGAAACTGGCGTTCACGGCGGCCTAAGGATTAATTTAGGCCTCACTTCAAGTGTCGTGACTGTCCCTGGTGAAGAGTGAGGGAACGTGATTGACGGCACCACTGTAATAAGTGGTAAAATTAGTGAATAATGGTAGGACCGGGGGTGACGGGTGCGCTGCCATGGAATGTGTCCAGGGAAAATTACCTGTGAGTTAATCCTCACTCATCGGTCTCAGATCTTAATGGAGTGACCTCTAATGTGTATAATAATTATGAGACATTAAATCGTCTTGTGAATGGTAATGTAATCAATGATAATAACATTAGAGAATGCGGGAAGTGAAATAAGTCGCCTTGCTCCGTGTGAACACGTTAGACCACGTTGTTCCCGTCCCGAGGATAGTGAAGTTTTATGGAGTCACGACTTCTAAACCGGGACAAACCAATGGATACCTCGTTTTGCTGGAATAAGGACCGTGTCGGTGTAGCAGGACTTCGAAATGAGATGGTGAATGGAGGAAATATGGAGCATCAATCACCCACAGTTAAGTAACCCTTCTAGTTATAGCTGACTGATACTGGCCAGTTAGGTATGTTGTAATTGGATAGGTTATGGGTGATCCAGCTACATCGAGTGACCACCAGAGGATATCTGATAAGTGGTGGGATTATGTAAAAGTGTTTTACCTTGATGGATATATCCATGTGTAATCTACCCCCCCCCCTTTCATTCAATTAAACTAATATAATCTATACAGTCCACAATTAATTAGTAGCACCGTACTTGGGGGTGCTATCCAATTTGTACTGGTCTCGGATAGATATGGATAAGATTGTGAGGGTCGAGGGGGCCACCTGCAGTGACCAGAGGTGGCTAAGTTTTCTCACATGTCTACATGGGGTGACTACCTGGAGTTTACCTGGAGAGAGTTCCGAGGGTCAACGCCCCCGCGGCCCGGTCTGTGACCAGGCCTCCTGGTGGATCAGAGCCTGATCAACCAGGCTGTTGCTGCTGGCTGCACGCAAACCAACGTACGAGCCACAGCCCGGCTGGTCAGGAACCAACTTTAGGTGCTTGTCCAGTGCCAGCTTGAAGACTGCCAGGGGTCTGTTGGTAATCCCCCTTATGTATGCTGGGAGGCAGTTGAACAGTCTCAGGCCCCTGACACTTATTGTATGGTCTCTTAACGTGCTAGTGACACCCCTGCTTTTCATTTGGGGGGATGTTGCATCGTCTGCCAAGTCTTTTGCTTTCGTAGTGAGTGATTTTCGTGTGCAAGTTCGATACTACTCCCTCTAGGATTTTCCAGGTGTATATAATCATGTATCTCTCCCGCCTGCATTCCAGGGAATACAGTTTTAGGAACCTCAAGCGCTCCCAGTAATTGAGGTGTTTTATCTCCGTTATGCGCGCCGTGAAGGTTCTCTGTACAATTTCTAGGTCAGCAATTTCACCTGCCTTGAAAGGTGCTGTTAGTGTGCAGCAATATTCCAGCCTAGATAGAAAAAGTGACCTGAAGAGTGTCATTATGGGCTTGGCCTCCCTAGTTTTGAAGGTTCTCATTATCCATCCTGTCATTTTTCTAGCAGATGCGATTGATACAATGTTATGGTCCTTGAAGGTGAGATCCTCCGACATGATCACTCCCAGGTCTTTGACGTTGGTGTTTCGCTCTATTTTGTGGCCAGAATGTGTTTTGTACTCTGATGAAGATTTAATTTTCTCGTGTTTACCATATCTGAGTAATTGAAATTTCTCATCGTTGAACTTCATATTGTTTTCTGCAGCCCACTGAAAGATTCGGTTGATGTCCGCCTGGAGCCTTGCAGTGTTTGCAATGGAAGACACTGTCATGCAGATTCGGGTGTCATCTGCAAAGGAAGACACGGTGCTGTGGCTGACATCCTTGTCTATGTCGGATATGAGGATGAGGAACACGATGGGAGCGAGTACTGTGCCTTGTGGAACAGAGCTTTTCACCGTAGCTGCCTCGGACTTTACTCTGTTGACGACTACTCTCTGTGTTCTGTTAGTGAGGAAATTATAGATCCATCGACCGACTTTTCCTGTTATTCCTTTAACACGTATTTTGTGCGCTATTACGCCATGGTCACACTTGTCGAAGGCTTTTGCTAAGTCTGTATATATTACATCTGCATTCTTTTTATCTTCTAGTGCATTTAGGACCTTGTCGTAGTGATCCAATAGTTGAGACAGACAGGAGCGACCTGTTCTAAACCCATGTTGCCCTGGGTTGTGTAACTGATGGGTTTCTAGATGGGTGGTGATCTTGCTTCTTAGGACCCTTTCAATGATTTTTATGAGTTGTTTAGTTTAATATGTTTATTATGCACCCCATACCCATCCTGTGGGCGGTAGTCAAAAGATTACAGAGGTACATAATTGGTCCAGGGACTGGACTCCAAAGTTTTCATAGCTGAGCAAGTTACAGACGTAATGAATTCACAATTTACAAAGGTAATGAACTCACAAATTACAAAGGTAATGAACTCCGGGTAGGTCTAGTCACAATCATGACAAGTTACAAAGGTATTTACAGATTACAGAGGTACGTAATGGATCCAGGGACTGGGCCCCAAAGTTTGGATGGCTGAACTAGGTACAAGGTAATGAACTCACAAGTTACAAAGGTAATGAATACTGTAAGAATGGTTACTTACGTTTATACATGGCTACAATCATGAACAAATTATAGTGTAATGAGCAATTCACACTTCCACACCCGGTCACAACTGTAGTGAGTTATTGGTGCAAATATTGATTGTTGAGTCACACACACACACACACACACACACACACACACAACATATACAAATTCACACACACACACACACACAAACACACACACACAACACACACACACACACACACACACACACATAAACACCACACACACACACACACACACACACACACACACACACACACACACTCACACACACACACAACACAAACTCAAACACACACAACGCACACACACTCATACCGGTGAAGAGCAACCGGTGAAGAGGCGGGGCCAGGAGCTAAGACTCGACCCCTGCAACCACAAATAGGCGAGTACAAATAGGTGAGTACACACACACACACCCACTCATACCCCACACACACACT